TTTTTACCACTCTTTACAGTCTATCCATCTCTTTCTTTCTTTTTCTCTTCTCCCTGATTGTCTTACAATTGAAATTGCCAGAAACTTAAACTTTGACACAAATTTATCCGTTCAAGAATAGCCTCTTGTAAGGAATTGATAATAAAATCTACGCAACGCTGTGCTCCGATTTTTAATTATCTGATTTACCGCCCAGTTGATTTTTTAATACATGATATTTGTTTATTTTCTTCCTAATATCATCTTGTGTAATTTCTTTACAACAAAAATTATAGCAAGTGCTTTCTTTTCAATTTGACTCTAGTATTTTTCCGTATTTGTCAAACGACTTGATGTGCACGCGACTACTTTCATTATACCGTCTTTGAATTTATGACCTATTACCACTCCTATGTATAGGTGCGTATCGTAAGGTGTTAGCGATTATTCTGAATTTAGTAATTTTTTAATTCCTTCGAAAGCTTTATGAGATTCCACCGACCAATTTCATTCCGTAACCTTTTTAAGTAAATTATATCGAGGTTCTGACAATTTGTACATCTCTGGTAGATAAATATCATAATAATTTTATAATCCGAGAAATGATTCCTGGTTTACCAATTTTGTTGAGTGGGGGCTTGCCTTTAATGGCACTTGTTTGAGCGGAGTCTGGTCTTATTTATTTTTCGTCGATTATCTGACCTAAATATTTAATCTTTTCCAGAAATAACTGAGAATTCTGTTCACTGATTTTGAGACCGTAATCCCGAGGACTCTGAAATACATCACTACTTACATTATTCGGACTATTGTCCTCATCTTTGTCGCCATATTTATTACAACGTTTCTTCAGGTAGTTGGACTGTCGAACTGAACCCTTTATTTCACTCACTGGGGCAGACTGTTCTAGTCTCACGTGCCATGTTTAATGGATGTCAGTTATCAGTTTTCTCCAGTTAGATCCAGTGACAGGACCAAAAAGTGTGAGTCCAATACCCGGTTAAGGCAGTGGTGAAGGTGGAGAGTGGAATTAACAAGACATAACTGATAACAGGCATCCATTAAACATGGCGAATAAAGGGTTCAGTTCGAAATCCCAACCACCTGAAGAAGGCCGGAGCGTATAACGGCCAAAATGTTGTAATAAATATAGCGACAAAGATGAGGACAATAGTCCGAATGATGTAAATAGTGTACATAATACCTCATCTCAGAAATATAGACAGATTCAGAAATACTTGATGTACTGTTTGTAGTACTCTTAATAAATATATCATCTATGTAAGTAACAACACCATCTAGTCTAGACAACACCTTGTTCATTATTTGCTGGAAAATACCTGGGGCTATTTATGCAATAAATGATAATATTTTAAACTTGTAGAGTCCTTTATGCGTATTAATATTAAAATATTTTTGGCATTCCTCATCCATTTAGATTTGAAGATATGCTTTCGACAGTTCAATTTTAAAAAAAATCATTTAATTTGGCTAATATATCCTCTGGAGTTGGTACGGGATATACATTTGGTAGGAGGCAGTCATTCAACCCACTTGAAAAATCTGCACATAAACTACTCTTATCATTTTTTTCTTTCTTATATAAACGACTGATGCAGCCCATTCTAAATAATCTATTCTTTAAATAAATCTGCGTTTTTCTAACCTGTCCATTTCGGTGTTAATAGACTCCAACACAGCAAAGGGTACCTCTCTTTTAGTCTTAAACACTGGTATCACATTTTCTTTTAATTTAAAAAATGCCTTTGACTTTGTACATTTTCCCAAATCCTCTAGGAAAATATTCGTAAATTTATTTTTCTGTTCACTCAGTATTTCTTTAGCTGTAAACTTTTTCTCTGACGAACCACTATTCCATAGAATGAATTAATTGCCAATTCCATAGTTCAAGTAATTCTAATTCATCGGCGCCTAGTAAATTCGATTAGGAATTTTACTCAATACTTACAAATCTGCATTTTTTAGGTTTTACCCACAGGAGTGATATTACATGTGATTTCCCCAAGAAAAGTCAATTTCTTGTCCGATATTCCTCTTGCAACTTTGTCAGTTATTCTCAAGTTAGGCTTGAAATGTCTGTTCCACTTTTGGTTATCAGTAATTGTAATATCGCCACCAGTATCCAATTGAAGTCTCACCGTAGCTGGTAGCACTACTTTCAGCAAGTTAATTTGTGTATTCCTGTTGTTGTTCGACTTGCAGTAGCTTTGATTTTGACCTGTTTTTCTTCATTTAAAACATATTTTTTTTATTTTTAAATGGACCGTCCTTTCTGAAATGAAGCATATCACAGACATAGAATAGGTTAAGTACTGCGATATCTTAATTCTGGACTTTTTTCTTTTCGTTCTTTTTTCGGGCAATTTTTCTCGAATTTCGCTGTATCGTGCCTTAAACTGACAACTTCTGCAACGGTCTGTATTATTAGTTTTGAATCCTGTTCAAGTTTTTTTAGTATTCGAAAGCGTATTTCTGCATTGTTGCTTGATGTCAGACCTTGAAAGAAAATTTTACATCTGTCTAGGGATAATTCATTTAAATTTCTCATATACACGGTTGACTATACTGGAATATGTGATAAAATCTTCACTTTCGTCCTTAGTATGATTAATGCAATGCCAAAGTGTATAAAACAGTGAATTATTTTCACTAAAACTTTTGATAATATCAATAATGTTTCGTTAAAAGACACTTTTTCTGGAGTATTCAGCAAAAGGGAATTCAGACATTTGTTCAGCGGGGCTCAATTTTCGTATCAAAAGACGTACCTTCTTTTTATCAGTCTATCCTTTATATATTTCTCTGAAAAATCAGTTCGTACCTTCTGAAGATGATAGCAATGTAATGTGTTCTTCTGAGACGTAATTAAATCCACTGAGTTAGCGACTAAGTGCGAAGAAAATGTAATTGACGGATTGTTTATTCCTTGCTTTTCCAGGATTGCTTTTATCTGTTCTCGATGACTTCATTGTAGTAAATGAAGTTAACACAATCAAGAAGTAGTATGTCGTTTGGACGCGAAGCAGTATTGTTGAAATAGGTTTGAAGCTAGATCTCTAACACTTTTTATTTTCTACTAATGATTACCTGCGTCAGCGTGTATATATTTGGACGAGACCATTTTCTTTTTTTTGGAGGGGTGTGTTCATCTCCATAACAGCATATATATATATATATATATATATATATATATATAGAGAGAGAGAGAGAGAGAGAGAGAGAGGTACCAGGCCAAAATATTCATATATTGACATTGATTCATTATTACTGCTTATTAAGCTTTTGCCTGTTGTTTAAAAACAGAAAAAGTATATTTTAATTATTTATTAATGCTCTTATTGTGATAATGATGATTTCCTGATGCAAGTAAAATATAGTCAGAGGGAGAAGACGTAGATTCATACAATTTTGAGTTGTATTTACGTGTATGTGAAACCTCGAATCTCCGATTAACAATTCCTAGCTGTTATCCTCCCACATTCCGTATATATATATATATATATCCGTATATATATATATATATATATATATATATATATATATATATATATATATATGAGGCAGGATGTATGTGTGTGTGTGTGTGTAACGAATCCACAGCCGCAATTAACGACGGATTTGCACAAAAATTTGCTTGTACATGCTCCAACTTAGTGGGAATGCCAATACTGAATTTGCATTTCCCAACTCCCGACGATAGTAGAAATAATCGATTATTTCATGCTTCTACGACAGTTTTTCATGTAGTTTTCGGCCATTTTCTACTGGCTAGAGTAAGAGCCTATAGCTGGCTGCCACGAATAGGCAGGAATATTCTATTGACCAGCGTGAGAGCCAACAGCTGACTGACACGAATGTTAACCACAAAAAAAAATTGATAGCTGCATTCGTCACAAGTGGGAAAAATTCAAATCTGCATGGCACTTTACTTTAATTGGCTCATTTGCTTGCTTAAATTCAACGTTGATTCTGATTCTGCAGAACTGGGTTGGGTGTGAAAAGGTATTTGTTGTTAACATTCTTTTTTCATTCGGTTTTTCCAGTTACGAGTCCTTTTTTAAAGTTGATCGTTTTGTGTTCATTTTGTTTAGTTGTTTTTTCGTAACAGATTTAATGTTTATATAGAGCTTAGAAAAAATTATCAGTGTGAGATAGGCAAGAAGTAAGGCATGTAGCAACATGTGTGTGTGTGTGTGTGTGTGTGTGTGTGTGTGTGTGTGTGTGTGTGTGTTGAGTAATGGATAGCGGCTTGGATTGAGGAATCGGAGAGCCGAGTTCGAATTCCAGTCAAATCCATAACATTCACTTACGTGCTAATACTCTTGGGAAAAGTGTGACTCCTCTTCTTCTCCCTATGGGTTAATAGCAGGACAGAGTGGGTTCTATAACCTTGGATGGCAACTGGTCTAGGAGAAGGACAACTCTGAATACAAAACCTGCTAAAGATCATTTCTCTGTATTCGGGCCTTCAGTATGTGTGGTTCTGCAGAAATCCTTTACCAATCAACTCTCATGTGCTGGTGTCGGGCTGTCAGTTTTCTAGAAAGTGATCTGCTTGACCCTCATACATCGAATTCGACAGGAGAGTCAGTATATACACACACACACACACACACACGCATATATATATATATATATATATATATATATATATATATATATATATATATATATATGAGTATGTGTGTGTGTTTGCGCGTGTGTTTGTGTCAAAATTACTTCCTGTGTAGCAATGAATATTTTTATCTATACCTCAAAAACTTTCGATATATTCATCTGCATATATTCATATTTACTTAGCACACTATCTGCGTATCTATAAATCTGCTCATATCTATAAATTTGCTTATATCTATCAATCTATGAAGAACACACACGCACAAATATTTATATATTTATTTTTTTAAATTTCCACCTGAATTTTTATATCTAACCATTAATTAATATCGATATATCCATATGTATATATGTTTTTCTACTTAGTACTGAGTATTTTTGTTATGCTGGTGAATCTATCTATCTATCTATCTATCTATCTATCTATCTATCTATCTATCTATCTATCTGTCCTGCAAGATAGATAAGTAGCTACCTAAGCATCTAAACTTATTCTGATCGATATAGTTAGTCCGTCCCGCTATCTATCTATCTATCTATCTATCTATCTATCTATCTATCTATCCTTTCCTTTCATTTTTCCCTTTCTTTCTGTCAGTCAATTCCTAACTCGGCTTTTCCCTCTCTGTTTCCCCTCACTCTCACTCTCTCTCAGTCCCATTCTCTGTCACAATCTATCTATCTATCTATCTATCTATCTATCTATCTATCTATCTATCTATCCCACACGATAGATAAGTAGCTACCTAAGCATCCAAACCTGTTCTGATCGATATAGTTAGTCCGTCCAGCTATCTATCTATCTATCTATCTATCTATCTATCTATCTATCTATCTATCTATCTATCTATCCTTTCCTTTCTCCCTTTCTTTCTGTCAGTCAGCTTTTCACTCTCTATTTCCCCTCACTCACACTCTCTCTCAGTCCCATTCTCTGTCACAATCTATCTATCTATCTATCTATCTATCTATCTATCTATCTTACCAACTGTTTTCGTTCTTTCAAATATTCTTTCTTTCTTTTGTTGTTTTAATCTATCATATTCTTCAGATCTATCTATCTATCTATCTATCTATCTATCTATCTATCTATCTATCCTGCAAGATAGATAAGTAGCTACCTTAGCAACTAAACCTGTTCTGATCAATATAGTTAATCCGTCCCGCTAACTATCTCTCTATCTATCTTGCAAGATAGATAAGTAGCTACCTAAACATCTAAACTTATCCCGATCAATATAGTTAGTCCATCCCGCTATCTATCTATCTATCTATCTATCTATCTATCTATCTATCTATCTATCCTTTCCTTTCCTTTCTCCCTTTCTTTCTGTCAGTCAATTCCTAACTCGGCTTTTTACTCTCTATTTACCCCCAATCTCTCACTCTCTCAGTGCCATTATCTATCTATCTATCTATCTATCTATCTATCTATCTATCTATCTATCTATCTATCTATCTCAGGCTGTTTTATTTTATTATTTCCTCTTTTCTTTATATATAATATACGTTTTCTTATTGATGTCCCTCTCTAATTTTTATCTTCACTTTTTCTTCTCTCTCTTTCATATATATATATATATATATTTTTTCTTTTTTTATTCTCTCGCTTCTCGCCTTGGTTTTACATCCTTCATGTTTATAAGCTTCTTCTTTTTTGGAGAATCCCTTTTCTCTGCAATTTGAAATGTTCACTAGTCAAGCGATAATAAACGCCTCTATAAAAGCAAACTCTATCGATTTTTATTATCTCAGGACATTTTCTTCGTTTTAATAGCAAGAACAACTTAAACTGCTTGCAGATTCAAAATAAAATAATATGCCTAAAAAACTATACATCTATCTATTCAGTTCCATGGAAGAAATAAACGGCCCTTCTAATATCAACTGAAATTCGTCTTTATTTGTTTTTACATTATTCAAACCTCCAAGCTTGCATATTCAAGAAAATATTCTATCCTCTGCTTAACTTTTTAAATAATTTGCCCCAAGCAAGACCATAAAGCCACTAAGACGTATTTCAGATATAAAATGGTGAGACCTTACTGCCAATCTAGTACAGCACTTAAATTCAAAATAAACTGTAACTCTATCATTGCAACTTGTTAAGGGTCTTTCCCACTCTGATCACTCACAACAGGAGAACTTTTGCTAAAAGGTCTATTGCAAAAACTGCTGAAATTCTCTTTGAAAGGATTTGATGTGCCATCAAACAAACAAATCAAAGCAGAATTAGATTTGTTGAATGTACCGAAACTGTCATTTTAAACAACATTCTAAGGAAGACAAGCAAAGTATTAAGAGAAGGAAAACTCTTTCTGTAACTGTTGAGACTCCTGGGATAATTTGAAATATTTGAGAATATTATTAGATTAATTCAGAACCTATACTGGCTTCGAACCGCTTTCACCCGGGAAGTAAAAGAATATAGTAAAAAAGGAATTCACTAAATATACACAAATATAAACAGGATTAAGACAAGGATGTGTCTTCTTACCAGACTTATTCAACCGATATAGTGAAGAGATTCTGTTAAAAAAAAAAAAATCCCAGCAAGATTCATTATTAGCGGTTACAGTTTTACCAGCATAAGATATGTAGATGACACTACACTGACAGAAGACAAGGAAAGGAAAAATACGGAATTCCTCCAGAAGGTCGTAAAAGAAAACGAGGAGAAAGGACTAAACATCAACTGTAAAAAGGCACAATGTTGTCAGCAAATGGAAGAGAGTAAGCTGCAAAAGTTTACACATATAGGGAGTGTTTTAACAAAGGACAAAAATTACATAGGAATAGGAATTTCAAAAACTACGCAGTGTATTAAGAGACAGGAAAAATTTTCAATAGAAAAGAATACTGAACTGTTATATAATATCAGTCATCCTATATGGCAATGAAATACATAGATGAAAAGACGTGAAACGAAAGAAATGTGGTTTTACAGAAGGATACTGAGAATGTCATGGACCGATTATGTGAACAATTGAAGCAAAAACAATACTGATACTTACCACTGTAAGGGATTTGAAACAAAAGAAATGTGGTTCTACAGAAGGATACTGAGAATGCCCTGAACCGATTATGTGAACAATTGAAGCAAAAAAATACTGATACATTCCACTGTAAGTGACTTGAAACATAAGAAATGTGGTTCTGCAGAAGGATACTGAGAATATCATGGACCGATTATGTGAACAATTGAAGCAAAAACAATACTGATCATTACCACTGTAAGAGACTTGAAACAAAAGAAATTTGGTTCTACAGAAGGATACTGAGAATATCATGGACCGATTATCTGATCAATATAAACAAAAAGGATACTTATTTTTACTACTTGAAGAAACTTGAAACAAAAGAAATCTGTTTCTACAGAAGGATACTGAGAATACTCCAAACCGAATATGTGAACAACGATGAAGTTTTAGAGAAAATGGAAACAAAAAATACACTTATACATAACACCAGGAAGAGACAGTTGAAATTCATAGAAAACATAATGAGGAAAGAGGGTTTTGAAAACTGAATACTCTCAGAACAGACTGAATGGAAAGTATTGAATAACCTATTTAGCAAAATTAAGTAAATGGTTGGTGAATCATGGATTCGGAGAGATGACAAAAAAAAATTATTCACAGCTACAAAGAACAGGAAATTGTGGAGAGCAATGATCGCGAACACACTTTGTAACGAAACGCATTCATTCCTTTCGTATTCCACTGGTGAGATGCAACTTTCACTCAATCAGTAGCTTCTAACGGTCGCTACCTTGTGGAACCGACTCCCAAGATGGTATTTCTGCAATCGCTACAATCTTAACTTACAATCTTCATGTCTAGAGTTAACAGCTTTATTGCATACATAAGCTGTGTCCATTACTCTGTAACCGTCTACATCGAGTGGACATTTTATAGGTTTAAAAGCGCTTTAAATGAAACTAAAAAAGCTATGTAAAGTATTAAGAAACAGGAACATCTCGCTAGAAACAAAGAAAAGAGTACTAAACTCTTACGTAATATCGGTCATGTGATATGGAAATGAATGCTGGAGAGTCGCCTCACATATGAAAGAGATTTTAAGCGAATAATGAGAAAATAATAACCGATGCCGAGAAGAAAGATTTGGGTACGTTATATTTCAATCATCGACTGGACATACAAAGACGAAAGCTTATTGGTAAATGGAAACGTGAAGGGAATTCCAACTAATCATCAGAAAGTGTTTAGGAATAGCAAAAGTTGCAATTCAGTTATTAAACAAAGTATTAATTGCCAGAAAAATATTCTCACACATTGAAAAAACAACAGAGATGTGCTTCTATCGACAAATGCTGAGATTACAGAATATACAGGCAACAGCTAGATCTGAAATATAAGAGAAAAAACAATGAAATGTATACTTACAATCAGAAAGAGACAGTTGTGTTTTTCGTTTTCGTTAAAGGGACACCAACTTATGGGACATTTAATACTGAAATTTACATCCTAAATAGCAGTGAGTGTTGCATGATCCCCTCAGAGATGAAGGGGGGTTTGAAGCAAATAGAAATGTGGTTCTACAGAAGGATACTGAGGATAACGTGGACCGAACATGTGAGCAACGACGAAGTTTTGAAGAAAATTGAAACAAAAAGGAAACTAATACATAACAACAGGAAGAGCCAGTTGAGGTTTCTGTGACATGAAATGAGAAAGGAGGGATTGGAAAATAGAATTTCGAACTGAACCCTTTATTTCGCTCACTGGGGTAGACTGTTCTAGTTCCGTGCCATGTCCTCAAGGACACATGGCACAGTGGATAAAGTCGTTGGTTAGATCCAGTGACAGAACCCAAAGAGTGTGAGTTCAATACGCGGTTAAGGTAGTGGAGAACTTTCAGAGGAAATTAGCAGGAGACAACTGATAACTGACATCCATCAAATATGGCACGTGGAACTAGAACAGTCTACCCCAAAAGGGATCAGTTCGAAATTCAACCACCTGAAGAAGGCCGGAGCGTATAACGGCCGAAATGTTGTGATAAATATAGCGACAAATATGAGAACAATAGTCCAAATAATGTAAATAAAGTAAATAATAATAATGTCCGTGATTTAAGCACATAGATGATTAATATGTCCTGTTCTGTTAATGTTTATGAATATGTGATACAAATTGCTTAGTATCGAATAATTCAGAATGTATACTGGAAGATAACTACCTGAATGCGGATGGTAAATGAATTCATTTGCTACACAAAATAGGAGAGGCGTAGTCTACCTTCTCCCCAGATTTTTCACCCACCACAGCGACGCTATCGTAATGTAACTGGTGACCCTACAGGAGGTCGTAATCATAACAATATAGGTTATGCATAAATTACTGGGATGATGCCTGACACCTAAGGAAGACTACAGGAGCGCCTAGATAGGACATTAAAAAGTAAAACGAGATAAAAAGACTAACTATCGTCTACAATACGACAAAATATATGGTCACCTGCAAAAAAAAAAAAAAACCCCGAGGCGCGAGCTGCGAACAAGAAATGACGACAAGCAGGTGCAGAACTTTAAATACCTTGGAAGTGTTTTAACAGGGTATCGACGACGTGACACCAAAATCCGACCAGGCATTGGAATAGCAGCGCGAAAAATAAGCAAAGCGTGCGAAATCAGAAAGAATGCCCTTAGAAATAAAGAAAACATTTTGGATTGCTATGTGATATTCAGAGTGTTATATGGCAAGGAGTGCTGAAGAATCTATCCAGGGATGAGGAGAAAATTGGAGCCAATAAAAATGTAGTTATACAGAAGGATACTGAGAATTCTTTGGACTAAAAGAAGTAACGAGGACGCATTCACAAAAACTATCAATAAAAACGATTATACGCAGATTCTACGGAAAGGGCAATTTGACGTTGTGTAATAGCTAGCTTGTCTCGATAGATCAATCACGACTGTGTAGTGAGTCCGACAACATTTCTAGGACAGATTCGTATGAATAGAATATGTATTCTTTGGTTTAGATAGGTTTGGTTTATTTTGTTTAACGGCATACCAACCTCAATGGTTTACTTAATTCCGACAACATTTCTAGGATAGATTCGTATGAATAGAGTATGTATTCTTTGGTTTACATTGGTTTGGTTTATTTTCTTTTACGGCATATCAACCTCAATGGGTTATTTAATGCCGACAACATGTTTAAGTTAGATTCAGATGAATAGAATATATATTCTTTGGTTTAGATTGGTTTGGTTTATTTTGTTTAACGTCATATCAAACTCAATTGGATATTTAATGACGATAACATTTTTAAGATAGATTCGTATGAATAGAATATGAATTCTTTGGTTTAGATTGGTTTGGCTTATTTTGTTTAACGGCATATCAACCTCAATGGTTTATTTAATGCCGAGGACATTTTCAGGATAGATTCATATGAATAGAATATGTATCCTTGGTTTAGATTTGTTTGGTTTATTTTGTTTAACGGCAAATCAACCTCAATTGGTTATTTTATGTCGACTATTTTTTAGGATAGATCCGCATGAATAGAATATGAATTCTTTGGTTTAGATTAGTTTGGTTTATTTGTTTTACGCATATCAACCTCAATGGGTTATTTAATGCCGACAACATGTTTAGGTTAGATTCAAATGAATAGAATATATATTCTTTGGTTTAGATTGTTTTGGTTTATTTTGTTTAACGTTATATCAACCTCAATGGGTTATTTAATGCCGACAACATTTTTAGGATAGATTCGTATGAATAGAATACGTATTCTTTGGTTTAAATAGGTTTGGTTTATTTGTTTTGCGCATATCAACCTCAATGGGTTATTTAATGCCGACAACATATTTAGGATAGATTCATGTGAACAGAATATGTATTTTTTAGTTTAGATTGCTTTGCTTTATTTTGTATAACGGCATATCAACCTCAATGCGTTATTTAATGACGTCAAAACTTTTAGGATAGATTCGTATGAGGGAAATATGTATTATTTAGTTTAGATTGGTTTGATTTATTATGTTTTACGGCATATCAACCTCAATATGTTTTTTAATGTCGATAACATTTTTCAGGGTTGATTCGTATGAATAGAATATGAATTCTTTGTTTTAGATTGTTTTTTTGTTTGTTTTTTTTTTGTTTTACGGCGTATCAACATCAATGGGTTATTTAATGTCGAAAACATTTTTAGGATAGATTCGTATGAATAGAATATGCATTCTTTAGTTTAGATTGGTTTGGTTTATTTTGTTTAACGGCATATCAATCTCAATGGGTTATTTAACACCGACAACATTTTTAGGTTAGATTCGTTTGAATAGAATATGAATTATTTGGTTTAGATTGGTTTAATTTATTTTGTTTAACGGCATATCAACCTCAATGGGTTATTCATTGCCGACAACATTTTTAGGATAGATTCGTCTGAATAGAATATTTTTTCTTTGGTTTAGATTGGTTTGGTTTACTTTGTTCTACGGCTCACCAACCCCACAATTTTTATTTCTAATAATATTTTATTTTGTCATAATCTGTTTCTGGCAATATTTTTCCTTTAAAACTGTACTCTCGGCAATAATTTTTTTCCAAAATGTATTGCTGGTCATAGTTAAGAATTTGTCCATAGCTGGGACCCTAACAGGTGCTACCACCCCGGGTCAGGATGGACCTGGGAACAACAGCAATTAAGTGGTGGCTTCACGCTCCTCAAAGATCAGGTTTCTTGCTGCTGGACGTAGTTTTACGTTTTACCAATACGGAACCACCTATTTGACAAGTTTGTGAAAATGCATGGCGAAATGGGTGGGTGGATGCTTATTAAAATGAGGAGAAACTGCAACCAGTCACAATGGATAGAAAGATTAGTTAGACTTTAAAGCCTAATCGTAAGAAATTCTTAGCGCCAAATCAAACACGATATCAGCTGTCCGTCTCTGAACATTTAGATTTTTTACAGGTCCTCTTCGGTGGTATCACCTCCGCAGATATTTGCTAACAAGCTGAGAATACTGCTCAGCAAATTCTTAAACCATTAACTGCCATTTTTTAAATATCATTCTTATATCTTTTTTTTTTTGGTGGGAGTAAGGAAGAGCAAATATTTTCGGTCAGTTCTTTAGGCATTTAAAAAGAAGTTTGTTTTAGATGTAATTATTTTCTCTTCCCGTTTTGATTGTTTAATATGTATTTTATTCTTGTGTTCATCTGAAAAATCGTAACAGCGTTTATTCCAAGCCTGCAAGTGTTGCGTGGGTTGAATTCGAATGACCGTCTCTCTATATTTTAAAACTCTTTCCACACTCCATTCTCACATAAATAATGTGAGGTGGATATATATATATATATATATATATATATATATATATATATATATATTTATTGAACAATAAAAAAATATTAAAAATTAAAATCTTCAGACACACTGGGTTTTAGATTAATATTTTCGTTTTTTTTTTAATATTTAATTTATATTCCTCGACTAGTTTCGGCCAAAATGGCCATAATCGGGAGAAGAAGTATTTCTGCTTGCTGTTGGCAGTATACTAGAATATATATATATATATATATATATATATATATATATATATATATATATATATGTGTGTGTGTGTGTGTGGTTATATTTTAGTTTCTAAGATGCTGTTCAACGTTGTAAAAATATCTCTGTCTCAACATACTTACATGACATGTGTATTTTCATTTATATCTTATTCATCTATATACCTACCACTCTCTGTCGATTATTCTTTTCTCTCTCTCTTTCTCTCTCTCTCTCTCTCTGTATGTGCGAATATGTATATATGTAGATGTGTATGTGCGTATATACGTACATCTTTTGTGCATATAAATAGTAGGTTTTACTAAATTAAATATTTTTAAATATTTTTATATATTTATGTTAACCTATTAACTGCCGAATTTTTTTAATGCGCATTTTTTGACCCAGACAGGTGTCTTAAGAGTTTATTTATTCCTTATGTTTAATTTAAGTAGTTACCAGTTTCATTTTTATAGAATCTAGAACATTAAATATATATGTGTATAAAACATCAAATAATAATATTGATTAGAAATAATAAAAAAATACTTTTCAAAATAGTCATTATTTTTCTACTCGTGAAATATAAAATTACAAGAGAAAGTGTCTTCTTACGGCTAATAATAAAAACTTTCAAGGCTAAGTATTGTAAAATATACCTCCTCAAATGCAATGTATGTAAGCAATTCAATGTAAATACAAGGAATAACATGTAGTGAGTTTAATTTTAACAGAACCCCTGTACGGGGCGCATGACAGGTAATGAATTAATAAAATGCAGAAAGGTAGAACCGAGGAAAGGATTTTGTATAAATCGTTCTAAAAACAGACGACATTTAGGGAAACAAGACAGAATCACGCAAAATTTGGATAGATCGATTCATTTAAACATCTATGTAAAAATTGTTAAGATTTTCTACATGTATTCGAGAATCGTAACGGAATTTAAAACATCGTGAGGTGCATTGGACATGGTCGCTTTTTGAGGAAATGTAAAATTCAGTTGAAAATATATCTGTTTACAGAAAGATTTAAGATTAGGATTGATATAAAAATTGCATGCGAAAAGAAGACTGCTTTCTAAAGATCTTTATCAAGCCGACTCCGTTTGATACAAAGACTAGCACTCCTACCCCCATATATATATATATATATATATATATATATATATATATATATTGTGTTACACATAAATGATCGATTACAGTTACTCGTTTTGGTAATGAGCAAAAAGATGTCCGACATATTTCTATTATATATATTGAGTAAAACAAATTTACATGTAAAATTATATATACTTATTTTAAGATACTTTCTTTTTATAGATAAAATATTAAAGTAAATGCTCTATTTATAATAAACATTATTAACAACATTTATCAGCCTGAATGTCCGAGAAATTTTCATAGAAATATGTGTCTTCCGACAGGACCCGAAACTGTATCCTATATGAAACCGCCATATAACTGGACGTGCCTTTACCAATTGGGCCACAGAGGAGCGTTCGGTTAGCAAGGTCGATTTTACTGTATTTAAACACGATTCTCCATGATTTTCTCTCATACATTCAGATCTACTCAATGCGTATCCAAATGTAAACAAATGACGTCATACTTTAAGAAATGAACAAAGCCCGACAATTATTTTTAAGACACTTTTATATTTACACGTTCTTTTTATAGATACAATTATGTAAGTAAATGCTCTTTTTATAATAAACAGTATTAACAACATTTACTGGCCTGAATGTCCGAGAAATTTTCATAGAAAATATGCGTTATGGAGAAGTGTGTTTAAATACAGTAGAATCGACACTGCTAACCGAACACTCCTCTGTGGCTTAATCTGTAAAGGCACGTTAGGCTATATGACGGTTCCTGTCGGAGGACATGTCCTTTCTATGAAAATATCTCGGACATTCAGGCCGGTAAATGTTAATACTGTTTATCATAAACAGAGCATTTACTTAATTTAATATTTGTATCTATAAAAGAATGTATAAACATAAAAATGTCTTAAAATAATTGTAGGATTTTATATATATATATATATATATATATATATATATATATATATATATATATATATACACAGAGAACCTTTTTACTGTAGTACAATACTTTCCCGACGGATGGCAATACTCTTATGTCTGTAGAATCAAGAATTCCTAAAGGATGTTGTGCAACGCTGAGGCCCAAATACATTGGTAGCCCTTAGACAAAATATTCAAAAATGCATGAAAAGCAATCCCACTAGCCAAGCAGTAGTTCGCTGAACTATTAAATGGAAGTTAAAGGACACCATTTTAAGCATATCTTGTGACTGATGTGTCCAAAGGTAATATGTGTTAATCCATGATGTCTGAATAGATTTAGTATTACAATATATATACGTGTATAATACCTTTTATCAGACAATATATATATATATATATATATATATATATATATATATATATATATATATATATATATATATATATATATAGTTTTATAATTGTTCAGGGATAGAAAAATGTATATTTTTAAGAATGAGAGAAACTGGAAACGTCTTTGGTTTAAATGTGGATTTGTTTTACTGTATATATTATATTTTATTCTTCATATTTTTGCTACACGTGTTTCCAGTTTCGTAACTTTCTTCAGGCAAATTAAAGGAATCAGTTGTTAAAGGAATAAATTTTCCTTATGTTCTTTTAAAGATTCATTGTTCATTTTCTGTATTTGTAGTGAGCCTTGATCTCATATTTGGACTGTTGGCAAAAGTGAATTTCTGCCTAAGTTGTGATAAAATCATTAGGTTTTCGAGGTCCATCGAAGCCTAACTGTTTCAAATATTCAGTAATCTTGTGAGCAGCATGTGAGGGAGCATTATCTTGTGATAAAAACAATGGCCCTTCTGAAGGCAACTCTTTGCCTTTTCATCCACGATTCAACATGCTCCTTCATAAACGCTATGTATGCATCAGCACTCATTTTGACGCCATCTGGTACTCTCCACGGTCCCACTGATGTTTTTCTAATAATACCACCCCAGATCATTATGCCTCCACCGCCTTGTTGGCGTCTCAAACGCTGATTACGATTCTGTCCGTTCATTACCCAGTCTTGCACCATCTATCTGGCACATCAAGTGTTGCTCAAGTTTCGTCTGTGAAGAAAACTTTTTAGAAGTCAATCTTCATATTGTCCTCGGCCCATTTCAATCGATTTTGAATGTGATTTCTCGTCAACGGAGACTTCGATACAGGTTTGACTGTTGTTCCCTCAGATACCGACACCGAGTAATTTTAGGCACAGTAGGATCCACAATGTGACTGAAAAGCTCTTGACCGGTAAGTCCAGGGTTTTTCGTGGCCTCTCGTTTAAGTCGTGACTTGAGACGACGTGAAATAACCCTCGGCTTGCCTTTATCTACCCTTTTGCGTACTTGTGTAGGGTCGGCGCTGAACTTTTTCACTGTTTGATGACACCTCCCTATCATTTTAGAAATTTTTAGGGTAGATTTACCTTTTGAGAGTTCTGAGGTGATAGTTTTCTTTTCAGCATCGCTTAAACTAGTTTTACGGCCCATCATTTCACTAAATTCTAACACTTTTCTAATAATTTGGCACGCACAAATCACCGTGCTGATAACAAATATGGCGCCAGTTTGTTTACATTGGGCAGATCAGTAAAAAATTTTAGTGTTTGCGCAGGTCAGTGTTGCCAACATTGTGTGAAAATTTTGTATGAATTGATTGAACGGTTTTTGAAATATTAGAAAAAATTATCTTGATAATAATTTTCACGCAGTGTATATAAATAGTTAATAAATTTCTATATGGGGCCCATTTGTTGCATATTTCGTTTCGGTCCATGTCTGAAACATAAAAGCAACATTAATTGCGTTTTGGAATAGAATGGCATAGCATTGATAAATTATTGATATCCCTAAAAATAACTTTACTAATAACGTAATAACATGCAACAAAAATTTAGTTTCCACATCAATGCTTATCGAAATGACATATTTGAAATTGTCTGAGACTTTGTGTACTCTGTGTACATTACAGCATACGCAAATTTTAGTCATAGGAAATTATAGTTTAATAATTCATGCTTATCCTTCGTGACATGAATTTTGCTTTATTAACCTCTGTTTTAAAAAGTCAATGGTCAGCACCCTAAATACTGATCATAGGTAACATTTTAGAATAAATTTGGACTACATAAGTTTTTGAATGTCAGTGGCCGTGTACACAGTGGATGAAAAATGATCTGCTGCCCTAATACACTAAATCTGTCTCTCTCTCTCTTTCTCTCTCTATACACACACACATACACATATATGTGTGTGCGTCTGTGTGTGTGACTGTGTGTGTGTATATGTGTGTATCTATATATCTATCTATATATATGTACATACAGTGTATCTCAAGTCGTTTCACTATACACACATCCATCTTATACGTATTAGATTCAGACCTTATTAATCTCTGTTTTAAAAAGTCAATTTTCAGCACCTTAACTACTGATCATAGGTAACATTTAAGAATAAATTTGGACTACAGTGGCATATATTAGTTTTTGAACGTCAGTGGCCGTGTACACAGTGGATTAATAGGAAAATGTTATTTTTACAGGATATTGTTAGATTCATTGACGTGCAAATAATTTTGGGGGAAAGTATGACTACAATCGTCCCCCGGAAATGAATTAAATAGTAGGATATAATCTTTGTTCTTTTCAAAATGATTGTCAATGAAATATTTACTCGTAAAAAGAATTACTCTTATTATCAAAACTATTTTGGGTTTTAAATAACCTAAAAAGTGTTGATAATCAGTAAAAAACGAAAGTAAACAGAAAATACCCCCCACCCCGACAGAATTCGATCAATCATTATGACCAGGCATGGCAATATTCAGAGAGAATAACACAGGGGAAAAATTTAAGATTGGACAGGTCTGTTCTACATTACCCACACGTTTTCTTTAAATTCACTTAAGCGCAAATACTGTCGGGAAAAGTATGACTTCATTCCCCCCAGAAATGGGTTAAATAGTATGACTTATATTCTTTGGCATTCTCCAAAATATTGTTAAAGCAAATATTGTAATAATAAGTAATTACACGAGATAAATCTCAAATAACCAAAATCCCCCCTCAAATCAATCTTTATGAAACGCCATATTGAACAAGAATAACACAAGCAAAAAGATGGGAATCCGCTGTTCTGTTCTACTCTACTCACACTGTTTCTTTAAAATCACTTACGCGAAAATACAGTTGGGAATGGTATGAAGCTATTCCCCCAACAATGGGTTAAATAGTAATATTTATAATCTTTGCTATTTACAAAGACATTGTTAATGCAATATTTAGTTGCAAAACAGAATTATTCTTAACATGCAAAATACTTATTATTAAATTAACCTACAAAGTGTTGATAAGCCGTAAAAAACAAAAGCAAAAAATCACCCCCACCCCGAAAAAAAAACAAAAGAAACAAATCACCTGATTTTTCTGATAACGTGAGGACATCTTCAGCAAAATAACTCGCTGAGAAAAATGAGATTTGTTTGGTCTGATCATCTTAAGCCACTATATTCACCTGAACTTGCACTAACTGATTATTGCCTTTTTAGATTGCTGTAAAACACTGAAATGAGGAAAATTTCCTTTAATGAAAACCTCGTCCAGGAATTCTCTGAAATGTTTTCCTCATCAAAACCTGTGGAATTTGACTCAAGTTCTCACTAAGAACTCTCAAATAAATGGCAACAAATAAATGCTAATGATGTTCAATATACACCCTTGTACAAATTAATTGAAACACAACCAATAAATCCGTTATTATTTAATTGTTTTCGTATTTTCCCCATTAAACATTAGCCCATACACATGTTAGTACATCGTATGCCCATTCTACGAAGTTGTTCCTTGAAGATTGCCCCCAGATTGGATTTAAATCAGGAGAGTTTCCGGGCTAGTCTACAGAATTTTGATTTGTTCACTGGTAAGGCTTGCGAAAGTGTTCATGCAGTGTTACAATTTTTGTACGCTTCCGCAGGACAACTAATCGATAGTCGAGACAATAGTGTGTAGGCGCGATGAAAATCTGAGACAATATTTTTCAAGGCTAAACAAATTTCATCATACACCCCGGAAATAGATTCATACTACTGTACACCACTGGAAATGACCTAATCTGAGGTAAAAATAAAGAAATCGATTACACACTATCACTCCAATGGGACTAAAACAGAGCGAGTGGTGAAAGAAAGGCAACTAAAGAAGTTTCTTCAATTAACTTGCTCAAAGGTCTATATTCTTCTTTATGTATCTTACCGATTATGCTTTTCCACAAATTCCTGTCCTTTGTGGGTTATTAAAGCTTTTCTTTCTGTTATTTCTGCTAAAGCCTCTTCTGCTATCCATTCAAGCAAGCTCACTAAGCGTGGTTTACCTCCATACCCCTTGCCTTATATCTGTCCCCTGAGTATCAGATTTCCCAAGCACACTTTCTTCATTATGTGTCCCAGAAACCACAACTGTCTCTTCCTGGTGCCAGTTTTCTTTTTGATTCCAATTTCTCTAAAACTTCGTCGTTACTCATATGTTTTGTCCCTACTATCCTCAACATCATTCTGTAGAACCAAATTTCTATTTCTTCAAGTCTCTCCTTCATCTTTCTGGAGATTGTCCAGATTCGATAAATTTATACCGTATTTTCTAACTTACAAGACTTGGAAGACGCGCCCTCGTGTTGGAAAGAAATTTCTAAGAAAAAAAGTCGTTCTCATAAAACAAAACATTCACCATGTGTCCCTCACATACTGGCGCCACGTATTGTTTACATTAATCAATCGTCCGATTATGTTTATATGACAATGACATACTGGTCAATAGCAAAAGGGCTCCCGCCGCAGCTAAGTAAATAGAGTATGTTTAAGCTTTTGGCTCGGCTCCAGTAAGGTTTATAACCTTGGACATACTTGTAACAGCTAAGTACTGTGGTTACATCATATAAAAGGCTGAATTAAATAGATAACTAACATTATAGTGTAATGACTCAGCATACAAATCCACGTCCCTATCACTCAAGCCAATTAGCTGACAGTCCAAGCTTAACTAAGCCTGCCTTACTTTCGTCTTGGAAGACGCATACTTATTTTTCAGGGTATTTTTAGGAAAAAGTGTGTTTTGTAAGCCGGAGAATACGGTAATTGCAATATATCTTTTAAAAAATAAAATCGATAAACAAAAAGAGGAATTATTTATGATTCAAGCAAATATATTTGTGTTTGAGAGTGTATCGTAAAACTTCTACCCTTACGTACCTTCTTAGCCATAAGTTGTTAGAAGGCAAGTTTACACTAGTGTTAAACGTCAATTCAAATTAAGTGACAAACTTAGTAAGTTTCTAAATATGCGAGCAAAATTTGTAGACGCATGCTTTTAAAACATTAAGATAATCTATTGCTTTTTCCGCTACCCTGCAAATAAAAGATGCCCCCCCCCATTGCCGTGGTGGGAAATTTCGAAACATATCGATCAATCACAAAGCTAGATCTATGACTAGTTACGGCGACTTTGGGGAAAACACTGTCAGATCGCATGTGCGGTTCGTTTTAGTTCGCGAGATCTCGTTTTTAAGCTGCCATGTTAAGTCACGTTTCCTCCCGTGAGAGTTTCCGCTTTCTTACTTCTTCTGAACTCAGTGTCCCTAAATTTCAGAAGATGCTAACAGTAAATAGAAAAAAAAAAACGATTAAAAAATGTTCAAGAGAACGTGTAGAAAATAATACTTTATACGGTGATTCCACGAGGAACCAAATCCACAAAGATCTTTGCATTTCCCCTTGCATGACAGAAACTCCTTATTCTTAATCTATGTGGTTAATAACCCATTTTGTCTTTCTGCTTCAACATCGATTACTTCCCTTGCTCTGTTGGCTACTAAATTTTGCTCTAGACAATCAAAACCAATTATCTAGCGTAAAATATTGTCTCTTGTAAACTTTCGATTCAGTCTACGCACGATCAGATATTGTGATTAGTTGCAATAGTGTGAAATAACTATTTTCCCCGCCCCCAGGATCTTAAAATACTGCCACTAAGTTTTCTTTCTTTTTCTATTAATTTTTTTTATTTTATTTTGTAATCTAAAAACCTCTCCTTTTTCTTCTATGAGTAATATATTACCGGACCGCAAGCGACCATGGCTCTAGACAACTTTATATCCTTTTGTCATTGTCTTTTCGTTATCTCATCCAAAACCTTTCCTCGAATGTCTTTACACAAGCTATCTGTATAGGCTACTGGTTGCATTCCTCTGTCCTCCTAGCCTTCAGCAGGACCAGCGAGTGTCAAAATTTCAAGTCCATTTCAACCGACTCTTTCTGACTCCAAGTATATGTGCCCTTTTTGTTTCCATTTTGCATAAAACCTCATTACTCATCGTCCATTTATTCTCTGTGACGAGATTGCCCAAAATTTACTGCCATAGAGATGGGGCTAATATTCCATAGTACCCTTTACTTTGATTCTAAAAAAAAATTCCTGTTTCATATTACTTTGCTTAGATTTTTTCAGGAATCTTTCGTTGTTCCAATGCGGCTTCGGATTTTTGATGTTGTACAGGCCACTATTTAAAGAAATAAAATGGTATTAATGAAAATATTTAAAATTGATAAAGTTCTCTATTTCACTGAAGCAGACGTTAAAAAATGAAAGTGTTATCGCCTCATTTATCTTCATTTTCTTTTTCTCTCAGAAATCATTGTCTCGAATATATTTCCTTTCGATCAAAACGCTAGTCCACTATTTGTGAGGGACTGAAAGGGCGCAACGTACATGGTAAGTAAGGAACGAATAACTAAGGAGAATTTATATATAATAATAATGATGCTCGCAACATTTTGCATTCTCTTTTCCTTCTCCAGTTTCATCTGCCTTTCTTTTTTTTCTTCTTATTTTTCATTTTTTCAGCCTCTTTCTTTTTTTCTGTCCGTTTGTAAATCATCGTTAATTTTCCAGACGTTAATATTTATTTTTCAGTTTTTACATTTACTTCCGATTTTTTTCCTTCTTCAGATATCAGCGGGATGTTTCTCACTTTGCGCAAGTTTCGTTCGAAGCCATTTTCTTTAAATTCTACTCATTGACTTTGTCGTCCACTCTTCTGTCTAAGTTGTGCACTTGTCTTAGTTTATCTTCCATTTTCCTTGCCATGAAGGAAAAATGTTTGAAATATGTTGCAGAAATTGTTTCGACAGTTATCATCATGTGAAAGAAGGTCAGCTTCCAAGAAACAGGTCACACGATGCTGACAAAGAAGGTCACTCTCTGAAGCCAGACCCTGAGTTCTTCGTGAATTATTTCCTTGACAGAATTGACATGAAAAGAATGCTCTATAAGACATTGACAAAAGAGAGGCACACAGAAAGACACAGAGAGGTACAAAGCAGGACAAGGGACCACTTGCGCGATACGCCAATAGAAAAACACGCTTGTTAGACTGTCCGTCCACACCTTGCCAACACGCTTCACCTCTGTCTCGCTCGTCTATCTTTTTTTATTCGAAATTCGGTCTTTGATTTCTTGCGCTTCGCTACTTTCTAATTTTGATTTACATTTTTTTTTTCGTTCGTTTTATTTTTTCTTTGCATCCTTCTGAATTGTGGTCGGCCATTTTTTTTTGTTTTATCCTCTTCATCTTCATTTTGTGTTCGCTGTCTTTTGATTTGAATTCATCGTTTTGGGAATTTGCTCCGTTGTGTTCCATCTAGCTTCTCTCTTTTATTAGAATCCATGCACTTCTCTTCTTCCTCGTTTTTACTCATTTCTTTTCATTGTCTTTTTCTATTCATTGCCTTTTTCGTTTGAATTTACCACTCCTATTTGATTCTTTTACTTTCTCTTTGTCTTCGTCTTCTCTTTGATTTACTATTCGTTGTCTTTTTCCTTGAATTCTCTCTACTTCTCTCCCTTCTAGTATTTGTTATGGGGTCCACCCCTTTTTCATATAAGTGGACTCGACCAAAGTGTTATGTGGACTGCCGCCGTTAAATACCCAGAGTCAGTCAGGATACAGGAGTCGGTCGTTCAATTTTGAACTGACTGCACGGTTGTACTCTCTTCCTACGGGCGAGAGGAACCCGAAGGAGGCTACGCTGAAGGGCGGAGTCTCCTTCGGGGAGGTTAAACCGGCCCAGAACCCGTTCATACGGGTTCAAATGGGCTATTTTTTGGCCGGGCCTAATGGCTCGGGAATTCCACGTTAAAAAGGCCTTGTGCCACATGACACCCCTCGTGGGGGGGTGACTGAATATTGTCAGTCAGATACAGGAGTCGGTCGCTCACTTTCTGAGCGACTGTCCGGTTCAACTCTCTTCCTACGGGCGGGGAGGAACCCGAATTTTACGCCGAAGGGCGGAGTCTCCTTCGGGAGGAGGTTAAACTCGGCCCAGAACCCGTTTATACGGGTTCAAATGAAGCTGTTTTTTGGCCGAGCCTAATTGCCTGGGAATGTGTACGTTAAAAAGGCCTTGTGACATGACACCCTGGGGGGGGTGACTGAATATTGTCAGTCAGGATACAGGAGTCGGTCGCTCACTTTCTGAGCGACTGTTCGGTTCAACTCTCTTCCTACGGGCAGGAGGAACCTGAATGAGGCTACGCCGAAGGGCGGAGTCTCCTTCGGGTTTAAACACGGCCCAGAACCCGTTTATACGGGTTCAAATGAGCCTAATGGCTCGGGAATGCCCACGTTTTTGTGCCATGACATTCTAATTGGTCTTCACTTTCTGAGCGACTGTTGTTAAACTCTTCCCACGGGCGGGAAAAGGCCTCGCCGAAGGGCGGTGTGTCGGGGAGGTAAAAACTGGCCCTGGACCCGTTTATACGGGTTTGGGCTATTTTTGGCCGAGCCTAATGGCTAATGAATTGGTTTTTGAATATTGTGGGGGGGGGTGACTGGATACAGTCCAGAGGAACAGAGATTGTGATTGAGTTGGAGGTAGAGTAATAGTGTGAGGTAACCGCTTGTAGAAGATCAATTTACAAGCACGTAGACTCTAAGTCCTACTTACTATCGATATATATATATATATATATATATATATATATATATATATATATATATATATATATATTATTGCGACTAACTGCGTTCCTGGATTTACTAACAGTATTACCCTTTGTATTATGGTGCAAATATATTTAATTTCTTATCTTTAATTCTTGCGTTTGTCATTCATTGGAGACCGAATTTCATCTCGGAATCCAAAACAGTATTTTTCTCTTCATTTATTTTACTCTCATATTAAGTTTGGCTTTTTCTTTCTATTTCCACTTCTTTCCTTTCTTTCTTTTTCCATTAATTCCCATTCAATGACTTCATATTAGCATTCCCTTCGTTGCACTTTTGTAAATGTCTTCTTACACCTTTTACACTTCTTTTTCTCTTCGGTCCCTTTCTCTTCTATTCGTTGACATCTTTTTTTTTTAGACTACTTATTCCTTTATTTCTTCATCTTTGTTCGACTTTTCATTCATTTTGATTATCGCTTGTTTTTCCTTCGGTGCTTATTAACAGATTTTCTTCGTCTTTCAATTCTTATTCCTCTCTTCGATCCAGTCGTTCTTCATCTTCTGTCTCATTGACTTTCTTTTGTTTCCTTATTAATTATTTTTTGCTCTCTTTTTTGATCAGCTTTACAGGATCCAGAAAGTGTTGATAACCAGTGAAAAAATAACTTGTGGTATTTTTTCGTCATTTACATCATTGTTTTTCATTTAAATTAGTAAGCAGAAGTAAAAACTGAAAGATAAATATTAACGGCGGGAAAAGTAACGATTATTTACAAACGAACAGAAAGAAGACAGAGGCTGAAAAAATGAAAAATAGAAAAAACAAGAAAAAAACAAAAGACAGATGAAACTGGAGAAGGAAAAGACAATACAAAATGTTGTGAGAATCATTTACATTCATTTCTTCTTTCATTTTTTTCTTTTCATTTCTTCTTCTATTTCTTCTTCTTTCATTTCTTCTTTCATTTTTCTTCTTCTTCCATTTCTTCTTCTTCTTCCATTTCTTCTTCTTTCATTTCTTCTTCTTCTTTCATTTCTTCTTCTTCTTTCACTTCTTCTTCTTTCATTTCTTCTTCTTCCATTTTTTCTTCTTTCATTTCTTCTTTCATTTCTTCTTCTTCCATTTCTTCTTCTTTCATTTCTTCTTCTTCATTTCATTTCTTCATTTCTTCTTCTTTTTTCTTCTTCTTTTCATTTTTCTTTCATTTCTTCTTCTTTCATTTTTTCTTCAGACATTTCTTCTTTTTCATTTCTTCTTCTTCTTTCATTTCTTCTTCTCCTTCCATTTTTTCTTCTTTCATTTCTTCTTTCATTTCTTCTTCTTCCATTTCTTCTTCTTTCATTCTTCTTCCATTTTTTCTCCTTCCATGTCTTCTTCTTCTATTTCTTCTTCTTCCATTTCTTCTTCTTCTTCCATTTCTTCTTCCATTTCTTCTTCTTCCATTTCTTCTTCTTTCATTTTTTCATTTCTTCTTCTTCCATTTCTTCTTCTTTTATTTCTTCTTCATTCATTCTTCTTTCATTTCTTCTTCCATTTCTTCTGCTTTCATTTCTTCTTCTTCCATTTTTTCGCCTTTCCTTTCTTCTTTCATTTCTTCTTCTTTGATTTCTTCTTCTTTCATTTCTTCTTCCATTTCTTCTTCTTCCATTTCTTCTTTTTTCATTTCTTCTTCTATTTCTTCTTCTTTCATTTCTTCTTCTGTCATTTCTTCTTCTTCCATTTCGTCTTCTTCCATTTCGTCTTCTTCCATTTCTTTTTCTACCATTTCTTCAGTTCTTCATGTTCTTACAACATTTTTCATCCATTTTTTTTGGTTTCCATTAGTTGCTTTTTCGTGAAATTCATTATTCTCTCATTCCTTCTACATTTTCTTAGTTTCTCTTCATTCTTTTTATGTAATTCTTCTTTCATTCATTTGTCTTTCATGTGTTCTTTCATTTATTCTATTATTTGTGTTTTTCTCTTCATTTTCTTTTAACTTTGATTTTTTCCTTCATCGTTTTCTTCTTTCGTCGTTTCTCCTCCTCTTCAATGCAGTTTTTTTTCCCTTTTTTTTTCTTTTTTATTTTACTTATTTGTCATTTTCTATGAATTCGTCTCCGTTTAAATTCTTCTTTTCATCTTATGAGTTTCTTTTCTTTATATTTTTTTGTCTTCTTGTCCGTGTAAGTTATTATTGTCCTATTATATAAACATGGCGTCTTTTTTTCACTAATTTGGTCCTATTTTCCTTTATCTTTCTCTTCGTATTACATTTCTTCTTCTTTCGTTTTCTTCTTTAGATTCTTATTTTCTCGTTTATTTTTTATTTATTCTTCTTTCATTTCTTCTGTTGTTCCTTCTTATTCTGTTTCTTCCTCTTTCATTTCTCCTTCTTTCATTTTTCTTCTCCCGTTTCTTCGTCTTTCATGTTTTATTTTTTCTTTCATTTCTTCTGTTGTTTCTTCTTCTTCTGTTTCTTCCTCTTTCATTTCTCCTTCTATCATTTCTTCTTTGATAACTTCTTCCTTCATTGATTCTTCTGTTTCTTCTTCTTTCGTTCCTTCTTTAATTTCTTCTGTCGTTTCTTCCCATCGTTTCTTTCTTTTTCATTTCTCCTTCTTTCCTTTTTCTGTCATTTTTCTTCTCCCGTTTCTTCGTCTTTCATGTTTTTTTTTCTTTCATTTCTTCTTTCGTTTCTTATACCGTTTCTTCTTGTTTAATTTTCCTTTTTTTTTCTCTCCGTAATCTTTGCAAATATTTATTTATTGACTCTTTCCTTTCCTCCTTTTTTTTAATACACACTTCAGTTTTGTATCCATTTATTCATTTTCATATTATTCTTCATTTTCTAAGTCTCTTTTCTCCTTCACTTGAATTATTGCCCTTTACTACCTTTTTTTCTTGTCCTTCATTTCTTTTCTTTTTCTTTTATCATTCTTCCTTTTGTTCGGCTTCTTTGAATTTTTTTTCCTCCAACATATTCTTCTGTGACCATCTTTTCCTCTAATACGGCTTTACATTTAATTCTCATTTTTTTTTCTTTTTTGCAAACCGCAAACAATTTCTCCTCACTTTTTATCAACATTCTTTTATTTTTTTTCTCTTTCCATTGGATTAAGTTTTTTTTTCCGAAACGTGAATGTTTCCACGACAGGGTCGTCTTTCCTTCTTGCAGTAATTTCGATCGGTCTCTCCTTAGGGGATGACTTAAGTGATTACCCAAGGCAAAAGTGAATTCAGATCACTGGACAAATATCGTTCAACCCCTAAGGTTATTTCCAGGCTATCGACCGGCCAGTTTTCTACGGGCATTCGCAGTCCGAAAGTGTTACTATGACAACAATGGTACCCTGAGAGATAAAAACTAAACACAATCCATAAATCGGTTCTAAAAAGCCTAAAAAACATATAAAGTTTGGATGTTTCTACTGCTGAACTTAAAGATTGCTCGAGGAAACATCACTTAACCTAAATTTGAATTCATTTGTGTTTTTGTACGCGCGTAGTGTGCGTAGAGGTAGTGTAGTGTAAGCGTTGTGTTATTGGTTTTTTTATAGTTACATACTAAAATATGTCATAATATTTACTGGAGATAAAAAAAAATCACGATATATCTGATGTGTTTCTGCTAAAATCGCATTACCTATTGCATTTCCATTATTTAATCCCAAGTAAGGCGATAAAGCCCCTAAGACGCAAGCATAGAAGAAGATTTTAGTAAGGAGAAGGGGCAATAAATTAACAGAATTCATGAAGACAAAATACGCGATCGATATTGCATTTAAATGTTTGATGATTGTAGGTGGCAGAGAAGCCAAAAATCGGAAATCAGTTCCACAGATGAGAAGTGTGAGAAAATAATTATTAGAATAGAACTTATGGTTACATCTATCTATTTCAACAGTAAACGATAACACCTACTAACCAATTTAGTAGTATGCGGTCGAGGTACCATACAGGAGAGCTCATTAGAACAACTGCCATGAAAAAATATATAGAAAAGACAGAGGGAAGTCACTGCACGTCACTGAGAATGTGACTGAGATCACGATGCCAAGTCACGAACGATAAAATTACAAAATCTTCTTTGGATTTATCTTGAGATATATTATTTGAACAGCAAACCAGAGATGACAGTTATATTCCAGGCACGGACGAATCGAGGATTTCCCAATGTGCAAGATGGATTCGAACGAGTAAATGTTTCTATCAACAGACCGAGGAAATGATTAAATATAATCACTCCATTTCGTTAAAAATGTTTAGATCACGAAGGTATATTCTTGCAGCATCCACTTTCTGAAAAAATCCTCTGTTCTAGCATTCTGCGAGAACGTTGAGAAATACTTAGAATTCTAGTAAAATCTATAGACAGGATATTGAAATAATGTGAAGGCTTCGCGTAGAATAGGACCAAGTTAGAATCTGTTACTAAAAATCAGAAAGCTATACACAGGAATTCTGAGGAAACAATGCTAATATAATTATCAACATATTGTGGTAAGCGCGAGAAAAATATCGAAAGGTAGATAGCGAAAGATGTGTTGAGAAACGAGGAAAATATCTTTGGAAATGTAAGCAATTGTGAGGAAAGTCTATTGCCATTAATGATGGACAATCTCCCCGCAGATGAAGAAAGGACTTGCAGCAACACAGATTTGCAGAAGCTTCTTGCTTGCCAGTCAGCTTTGATCTTCAAAAATATTATTGTCAGTCATTATCTCATGTCTTCATAATTCCTGTTCTTCTTTGTTCTTTCTCATTTAATAAGTTTTTTTTTCTTAGGGTCTTTTCTCACCCATTATCCTCCCATGCATTTTAATGGCTTTGTTGTCTTGATCGGTGAAATGACACACACACACACACACACACACACATATATATATATATATATATATATATATATATATTTATTAAAATCATACGAAAGAACATTGAGATAAATAATTCAGAGTTCTTAGTATTTATTTATAAAAAACAGAGCTCGATACAAGAGAAGAGCTTCATATTGTAATTGTTTTTTAAGAAATATGTTAACATTGCAACACCGAAATTCCCATGTTTCAAAACTGAAACTTCAATTCAAATTCAATTAAAAAATTAAAGTTCCGTTCCTTTATCAAGCGATACTAAGAAACTTAGCATCGCTTGATAATGGAACGCGACTTTGTATCATAAGTTTAAATTTTATAATTGAATTTGATTTGAGGTTTCAGCTTTGAAACAATTATATATATATATATATATATATATATATATATATATATATATATATATATATATATATATATATATATATATATATATATATATATATATATATATATATATATATATATATATATATATATATGAAGAAATGTAATCTTAAGATGTGCTATTTATGGGATGAAGTGCTCAATATCAGAGATAGAGTGTGTAAATATAAAAGGAACATAGAAGTCAACACTTAGAGGATAATAGAATGCGACTTCGTATTTTAAGTTTAATTTTATAATTGAATTTGATTTGAAGTTTCAGTTTTGAAATAATTATATATATATATATATATATATATATATATATATATGAAGAAATGTAGTCATAACATGTGTTATATTTATGGATAAAGTGCTCAATATCGGAGATAGAGCGTGTAATTAAAATTGAATATAGATGTCAACACTTAGAGCCAACAGTCTGTTGCCTCAAAGTGTTGACTTCTATGTTCACACACACACACACACACACACACACACACACACACACACACACATATATATATATATATATATATATATATATATATATATATATATATATATATATATATATATACCAGCTTTTTTGTACGAACACCATTACGGGAAGTGATGATTCTTTAAGAAGAAGAGTAACTATGAAGATACTGTTACTAACACTCGAAGAGAGATGACTGAAATTTTAGGAATAGGCAAGAAAGCCTGAGGATTCTGACTTTGGCAAGACAAGCAGATGGATGGTGGAATGGATAACTAAAGAAATATCTCAAAGAGATAAGATAAAGGAACAAATATTACATTGAGGAAGAAATGATTGAAAGCAATAGATTGCCATAATCTTGAATCTTCGGAAGAATCATGGCACAGAGATCTTAACAGATATCTACAGACAGGCCAAAGCTGGGTGATATATATATCTAAGAAAATGGAAACACTACAAGCTTATAATGAAAAGTAAATCATCTCATGTGTGAAAGTAATGTCTTTCCCCTCAGTATTGTCTTATAATCTTAATAAATATAATGGAAATGCTGAACAATATCAGCCATAAATGTGCTTTGTAAAGATCAGTTAATTTATCTATTTTCAATTTCTACAGTCAGACACAAACACAGACTCACACACACACAGACACACACACACACACACACACACACACACACATATATATATATATATATATATATATATATATATATATATATATATATATATTCAGGAACCAAGAGAACTGTTAAACTGACCAGGGAATTCAGAGCAGCATAGATCCAACCAGTTATTATCTCAAATAACAACTTAAAAAATATTTAAACACAAAACTTGTCAATAGTGTTTTCTCATTTCCTCTCATACTCAATAACAATTTCGTATTAATTATTTCATAGCCTTGATTGTGATAAAATGATTTAATCAAATAGGGAATAAATTAACATCCTTAAGAAAAATGAGATCTCCTAGTTCAGCCATCAATTATGTGCTATGCGTGATACCCGCTTAGGCGATCATGTATCTTTTGATACCCGAATAATGAGGCAGATAATTTCTTCCAGTAGGTTACCATTTCTTTCTGCGGTAGATCAGTCGCCATTAAAGGCTGTAGAACTCGGTCTGTCCTGCTATATATTTATTTACCCATAGCTGGAGTGAGAAGAAGAGTATTCACACCTTTCCCAAGTGCATTAGCTCGTAAGTAAATGCAATGGATACTACTGGAATTCGAACTCGGCTCTCCGATTCCTCAATCCGAACCGCTATCCATTAATCCACGGTGCCTCTTTGTTCAGCCCCGACATTTCTGCTAAGCTGAACCATTAAATGCCAATGTCGTAGATATATTTTTCTAAAATATTAAATTATTTACGATATTAAAGAATATTGAAATATTTGAATATTTAATATTCAAATATTTAAAATATTAATAAATCATATATATTCAATGAAAAAATATTTAAATATATAGTAAACAATTTAATATTTGAATATTTTAAATTAAATATTTAAAATAAATATTTAAATATTTAAGTTATTTAATAGTATTTTATTATAATATAAATATTATTATAAGATAACATTATAATATTATATAAGATTATATATATTAATATATATATATATAATTAATATAATATAATTATAAAATATTATATTATATTATATTATTATAATATAAATTTAAATATTTAGAACACCATATATATTTGAATATTAAATATTTAAAAAATAATGAAATATTTAAAGATTTAATTATTTACGATATTAAAGAATTTGAATTGAATGTTTAGCTATTGAGTGTTTCTTGCGGTCCTTCTTTTAATTTTCGGTAATAAATGCGAAATAGTAATGCATCTTCGGGTGTTAAGAAATAATTTTCTATTTGATATATAACTATACATTTGATAAGAATTATATTTCTTGATATTAATAAACTCCGGAAAATATATTATCTATCATTAGAATTAAATGAGAAACCTTTACTATTCTTCCAAATAAAAGTATATTTTATTCTCTGGTGAAAGTATCTGAAAACGTATGATTGTGTATATTACAACCCCCGTCTTGTTTTTACACTATTTACATTGTTCGGATAATTGTCCTCGTCTTTATCGTCATATTCATGACCTTTCGGCTGTTGTGCGCTCCGGTCTTCTTCGGACCATTAACGTTGCAATTTCGAGTCGAATCCTTTATTTACTCCAGAGTGTAAAATTGTTCTAGTTCCATGTGACATAATTTTGTAGGATGCATCAGTTATTTCCCTTTAGTATCT